AGAGAGAGAGAGAGAGAGAGAGAGAGAGAGATGAAGGGAGAAATGGTTGGTTTTTGAAATAAATATTTCATTTGTAGTCTAAAATAATGTAGATTTCATAATAGATATACAAATAATTTGCAAACATATCATATTTGATAAGATCTAAGGTATTTCAAACAATTATTGGTAGAAATGGAAACCTAGTGACCTGCTATACTTCTAGTGTAGATAGAATTGTGAAAATAGTGAATTTAAATTTACAAAGTTTCATTAGAATTATAAAATAAATTTTTATTTCTTATAAGTCAAAATTATTTTGGAGAATTTGTAGCAAAATATTTGATTAAAAATAGTATTTTTAAATCAAAAATATGTTTACAAAATACGTATTTAAAGTGATTATTTAGTTATTGGGATTCACTATTAGATTGGAGCCCAGTATAGATTAGACATAGTTTAGAGCAGTTATTATGGAATCTATTATTATGTGAATAGCGAACACATCGAGCATTTGCCCACTTATGTTGAATACGGATTTTTGTGAGGCCACAGTTTGGGTACCGGTCAGAGTTGGTTATTCAATAGCATATCTATATATTTAATAAACAATAATGGTCTCACAAGTAGCGTTGCCAGACGTCCAGGAACGTCCTGGATTATCCAGGAAATGGACCATTTTTGCAGAGTCCAGGGGGGGGGTCATTCCTGGACATTACAAAATCCAGGAAGTAAATGCTTCATAAGTAAACTATGAACATTGTGTTTAGCAAATTCTAAAGGTTTAGGTTAATATGTTTTTAATGAGATTTATTGATATCGGTAAAAATAAAAGTGTATGCATTGCTCTAACCATTTGTAAACCATGTGTAACCATTGTAAAATGGTTTAAAACAGTTGTTATATTACAAAATTCAATAAAAAATCAGCACTATAATTTTTGAAGTAACTAAAAACTCAAATCCAGGAATATCTAGGAAATTTGAGCAAAATTATTAAATTTTCCGGAAATGCCAAAATATTTCTGGCAACGCTACTCACAAAACGTATTGTATTATTAATTTTTAAACACAAGTAAGATATGCATGTGGTTTATAGGATCGTGCGGTCTCCCTCCCCGACCCCACCCTATGCGATTTAACATGGGATCCCAGCTTAAGTCTATGGTTATACTTTGACATGGGTGATGTTAAGTCTATGGGTAATGCTAATCAGATTCATCGCCCGAATTGTGGTTAACATCGCTGTTTGATCCTTGTTTTGACCCAATACTTTAGAAAATATTCGAGTTTACTTATGTGGAGTCTAGTTGTGTACACAGTGTACTTTATATGACTATTGAGCACATGATAAAACCAAAAATAAGAATAAAATGAATACCTGGTAAATTGTAGGCCATAGTATGTGCCGCTAATCCATCAGTTGTCCATAATTGTGGACTTGGTGATTGACTTGAATGATGATGATGGTGAGATGAGCTTGAACCTTGACCCAAATGCACGCCCTTAAGCATAGAATATAAAATCATAGTACAAATAGTTAAAATAAGAACAATATTAAACCTTTATGAATTTAATGATTATAGTTATAGCAATTATATTACATGATGTGTCTGTTGGGGGGCGTAATGAACCACAGTCTGTGAGTGATGTCCAGACATAAGTCCAGATGAGTGACCATTATTTCCATATATGGAGCTATGGATAACATTATCGTAATTTGCACTCAAATGATGAGTGGATTTAGGACTGAGTGTCGATGCCGTTTGATAATCGGTGTTATTATTGCGATGGTTTGAGTGATAGTTTGGCGGCGATGTGCCGTAACCACCAATTGATTGGCTTAATGTTGCGCTACCGATAGTGTTGGTCGCATAAGAAGTGCTGGAAGAAGTGGCTGAGCCGTAGTGATGGCCAATCACTGCACTATTTATATTTATATAAAAAACATTTCATTCAATAAGCATACATGAATTGTGAGCTAAACTGTATATATTGTCATTGCATACAACCATACAATCATATGCTATATCTAAACAATGATTAAGTCGGGAAATACTCTGTTTTAGTATATCAGACATTAGATATAAAATATTATGATATTTAATATTATACCAACTATCAATAATAAATAGTAAATAAAATGGGCTTTTAATCAAATCAGTAAATGAATTAACTTGGTAGACAAAAAGGCAAATCTGTTGATTATAATAATCATTTAGATTTCATGTCTCATTGAATCGTAAAATCATATCAAAATGTTTGCCTAACAGTGTTTTACAGGACTATTATCTCATATAAAGTTATGGTTAAAGAAAACATATATTAGTGGAGAGACAAGGAATGAGTTACAGATAAAGAAGCGATAGGCCATAACCGAGAGCACAAGTATATAAAGCTTATCATATCGACTATCAATAGGTTAGGCGCAGAGCCAGTTCACCACCCGTGCATCGGCATTACCAGCACCGGCATTATCTCATCGGTATTACGATTTAATATCTATTACATATCTGTTTATATGTATACATCAATAGTATATATTATTAGTGTTACAATAAAATACTGCAAATACTGTAATCAAGCCCTCGTATGTAGAGTACAGTACATATTATGTATGCATATTTACGTCTAAACACTATAGGCTCTGTTCAGGCGTAACATACCTGGACTGGTGGTGCTGTTGATGTGCGGACTGATAATTGCCGTAAAGGTGTGAATGGAGAGCACTGTCGTTGTGAGCGATAGTCTTGTCGTCTAACGAGTGGCCAACTGTAGCCGCGCTCACCAACTCGTGTACAGGAGAGCCATGAGCTGAATGGTCAACAATATTGGACGGACTGTGCGATGAGCCCTCTCTTTTAAGTTGATGGCTGTGGCTGTGGTTGTCGTGAGCAGAGGGTGCGCTCGTATGCGGCGCTTCAGTGATGACATGTGTGTGCGCGTCGATTATGGCGTGTCTGCTCGGGTGGTGACCCACAGACGAGTCGTTGTCATCGCTTTGGTGGCCAGACATATGTCCGGTGTTTGCGGAGTCGTGTAGGGGTGTTGAGTCGGATTTGTGCTGACCGTTAGCACTGGTGGCAGTGTTGGCACTGTTGGCGCCACCACTGGAGCCGTGTTCGCGCTCAGACTGTTGGTGGTCGGAGAGGACGGGCATATCTGTTGGATGTTGTTGTTGGTGGTGATGGTGTTGCTGTTGGTGGTGGTGGTGATGGTTTTGGTGGTGACTATCAGTTATCTGTTGATGATTAGAGCCTTCATCACGATTGGAATCGTTCGACTGTTCCATAACTTTGTTTTTTGGGGACAATATTTGGTGAGCAGTGAATGTAGTGTTTGTCCCGTGAAGTACTGTTTATATTATTATATCTAAATAGAAAAATAGTTAACAACAAAATCAAATCAAATTAAATGAGTAAATATGATATGGAATGAAAATTATTAGATTTGAAGCTTTATTCGCACAAATGATGGTATGGTTTATAATATAGTAATATAAAGTATAGTTATAGTTGCTATGTATAGATATAATGTATAATGATTATAATGGCCAATATTAACAATATGAACAATTCCAGCACTAAATCTAACGGAGCTCTTTGGATAAGATTGTAGTCATGGGAAAAACAAAAGCAAATAACAATACAGTTAGTGGAGAGACATTGGAGACCAAAGTTCACACATTTATTCATTTGCAACACATCTTATGCCACTATTTTACCACAAAATCACAATTATTGCTAAAAATTATATATTTCCTAACTTTTTACCACTACTTTAGCACTTAATTCATAGAAACACTATTTCTTCAAATTTCAATCAAATAATATGTAAACTAAACTAAAATTAATGTCTATATCATAGATAAGAGTATAGACTATTTAAAACATAGCACAGAGTTTTCTATCATTTGGTGCTATTATTTATATTATTTTTGACTATTTTTGAGATAACATATACGATATACAGAACTAATTCAGAACTAAAAAGAAAAAATTTTAGTAAATACAGTTCAGTATATTTTATTAACGTTTAAAATAAAATACTTAAAACAATTAATTAATTTTTAATTACAAATTATTGAAACAACATTATTTGTTTTGTTAAAATATAAGTGAATATATTATTATATTTTATAAACTAAATTTTATGTGTTTAAAAATGCTATAAAACGATATTGTATATGATATGAACGCATTACTAAATTTAATTTACAAATACTTTTAGGTTGATTTGCAATGAAGGAAGAGATGGCAAAACATACAAACACTTAAACACTGGGACTATTATATAGTGATAGAGTCAGCCATACGTTATCACACAAATATTGCGATAAGAGTTATTATTTCATATTTGCCTTTAACTCAACGCGTATACACTTTTATATATTTTATATAAATTTATAAAAACTTATAGTTTATAATTATGTATAATTGTATTAAATTATATTACAGTATATTGTTATACATATTATATTAATTATTGTATGATCACATAATTTTAAATATTAATTAAAATGATTATTACTCAAAATAAAATGAAAGTATAATGCTAGATTAAAATGATCATCGCCCAGTTTTAAATAATTTATTTCTAACTTACAATGGGAAGAAAATTAGAATTTTCTAAATCCGATTTAATGGTAGTATTGGGCATAAGAAATAATGCTAGATGCATTAGTTGGGAATACAGAGAATGATTCAGATAAATGCAAACGAACGGTATATTTTATCATTTTAAACATGGTTAACTCAGGTGGTTATTATGTATACTAAATTAAAGAGTATTTATTTATAATGGTCAATGCATTGATCTGTCACCCGGAAAGCCCATGTTCAATTCGTCGTTGTCATGATATTTTATTGGTAATATTTTTACTTTTGTTAATGAATTTAAATACTGTTTTGAAAATTATTAGTATGAATTTTTAATTATTTAATCAATATAAATTTAAAATATTAAAATTACAATTTAAAAAAATAAATATATTACCGATAAAAGTACCATTACATCGGATTTTGGTTAGAAAAGTAGGTTGGCACTAATTTCCTATCCATCGTTAGATGGAGTTGTATATTTCCTAAAAAACATATACTGTATACCGTATAATATCTACTATCCTTTATATATATTTTAATAATTAATAGCGTTGCTCACGGTGGGTAAAAAAAGTGGGGGAAAGCAAAATTAAGGAAAGTTAAGATACAATATATATTTGTTTATTTTAAATTAATATTAAAAGTTAATTTTATTAAAATTATTGAATTATTAAGGAACAATTAGCTCAAGACAATGCTTAAGGTTGTATAAAAATGCAGTTTTGCTCAAATATAATGTATATTGAGGTTTTGACATTATATTCTATTAAATCTAAATTAAAAACAAGGATCACGCGCGATGCTATGCGTTAACTACAATTCGAGAAATGTATAAAAGATTTTAAAATTTTCAACAATATTGTTAGAATACTTTCACTATTATTATTTTGAGAATTTTTAATGTTTTTGACAACAATTAGTTTAATTTATTATGGCAGATTCGTCTAATATATCTCCATATTGCCCGTGTTAATTATATTCCATAGACCTATCCTTGCCATAGACTTATCGTCGCCTATGTTAATCCTATGCCATAGACTAATCATTAGTCTCATAGATATAGTATTGTCCATGTTAAACCTATGTCATAGAGATAAGCTGTAATCCCATAGAAACCCACGTTAAAGCATTCTTCTATAGATTTAACATTAGTCCCATAGAATTAACATAGAGAAAAACTACCCTTTCCTTTCATATTTCGCTTTCCCATAGGAAAATAGTTTCCCATAGGATAACATTAGTCCATGTTAAGTCTATGGAAAAAGCTCCATAGGATTAGCATTACCCATGGTAAAGTATAGCCATAGACTTAAGCTGTAATCCCATGTTACATCTCATAAAGCGGGGGAGGGGGAGGGGGCAGAACGATTATATAAACCACATTATTCATACTGAATTGTGGTTAATACAAATATTAATATAAATAATCAACATATTTTTAGAATTTTATGTGAAACTTTATCAACAAAAAATAATGTAATTTTTAAAATATTTAATTTACATTTTAGCTTTATGGTTTAATTAAACATATGAGCTGATTTATATATTTATATTTTCAATAATAGTTGAATTAAATTATATTATAATAAGACATAATTGAAACAAATTCTTTAAATTTATTTCTAATAAATAATTATAAATATTAAAATGCATCAAAGGTTGTGTCTAATAAAAATAACTCAAAACATTAGATGTATTTAAAGTTTTGTTTAATAGTTTAAAGGTTATAAGTGAGACATAAATGAGATTAAAACATATTTGTGTTTTAAACTATGTATTTTAACCATTTGTAATAATTCAAGAACGACCCAGGTCGGTACTGTGAGCAACACCAATAATTAAGATGACTATCTAATGTTGAGATAATAATATTATCAGGATATTATCCTGATATTATCAGGAATGATAAAATAAAAATTTTTACCATAAATGTTCTCTACATACAGTATTTGTATTTTAAGCAGTGCTTTTATTGAAGGGAATTGTTTACAACACTTGTACTGACCAAATACTATAAATATTGTACTTGTACAGTAAATATACAATTACACTTTAAAATAATTAATATAAAATTATTACGCATATAACGTGCTCTGTTTGAAAAATATATTTGCCAATGAAAGTTATTGATAACCAGTATTACCAATTCCCAATACTACTGTATCAATAATACGAATTGTGTACAGTATTTTGGAAATACAATTACATGATTGAATATATTATTTAATAAACATATGTTAAAATGTACAGGTTCAAATAAACTAAAGTCGTCTTAAAAACATGAATAAAATATTTTATTATTGCTTAAAACGTGTCCAGAATTAGTCAAGGTTTGGACAACTTTTTGTCCAGAATTTGTTCAGGAATATGATCAGAATTTAGCAAAACCCATTTGGTGAGTCTAGCAGACCCGAGATGCCACGGTTAGCATTAGGGATGGGCCGAGTACTTGATATCCGCAAACTTGGGATCATCCACTCTAAGGAGGGCATATGATGAACATGATGAGCATGTAACCTTGTTCATACTTTTGAATGTCTGTGAGTTGAAAGTTTGACAAAGTATATATCCATATGTCTTAAAATATACACTCAAAAACATAACCATAAAATATTAATTTATATAAAAAATAATAAATTTTAAAATTGTTGAAAGTATTGATATTTATTTTCTTAAGTAAACGTACAAGTGTTGAATGCGATGCCTAATTATTCCGTCTACTATAATATATTATGATCGAATCAGTAATTTTTAAGTATCCATATAATATCCATACTATAAGTGAGACATGAGTCAGTTCTTTGAACTTAAATTCTGTTAATACAATCAACGAATAAATTAAACTTATTTATTACTTATTCATTAATAATTTTAACACAATTTGATTGATAAAAGCGTTCAAAAATTCATTTTCTTCCACGGGTTTAAGTCTTTTAAGTTTTAGTATAATTGAAATGTTGTTTTATATGTTTGAGTTAAATAGTGTTTTATTAAATATAGTTATTTTAACCAATTGTTTGAATGAGAGTGAATTGAATTTTCCTTTAGGTAAATCATAATATTCAATATAATTGTGGAAAATATTTAATAAATATAATCTAATATCAAAACAGTGGACAGAAAATGGACTGAATTTAATGATGATTTAACGGATGGAAGTAGTGATGAAACAAACGATACATACTTTGATGATAACTTTGAAAATAGTGATTAATGCTTAATATACAGTATAATAAATTGCTATAATCTATGTTGAATATTTAATTCCAATAAACAGATATGGACCACACAATTGCACCCTTTCCTCCATTGCTTCCTTTGCCAACAAATGCCAACAATGAGAGCATTTCAACAAAACAAGTTTCAAACACAATAGTAAATATGAATTATCATTTCTAAACCACCAATGCTTTAATGAATATGAATTGTGTGAATATCAGTGTATTCCTGGTATAATGGGTGAGAAAGGAGAACGTGGTATCGATGGATATGATGGCAGTGCGGGCCCTATTGGACCGCCCGGTCATATATTTATGATTCCATTACAAACTCAATCCAATACTAAAGGACCGGATATTAACGATGACTTAAGAGCAATGTTAAGCCAACACATGGTTTGTCGAGCAAATTAGTTACAATATATTACTAATTGATTATGCATTTATTTAATATTTAGTCATAATATGTGCATAAGAATTTTAATTACAGATTCTTAAACAGGAGCAAAAATAAATTCAGACATATTTCAGGATTTCGCCCAAAAATTAGTTTGAATTTAACATTATATCTATGGAAAAAATGATGAAATTTTGCTTGATTTAAGATTATTTGTAAAATAGGAGGTTAAGCTTATTGACCAAATCATAACAAAAACTCCCGCAGTTGATAACTATTTTGGTATATCATTTGAACTTCTAGACCGAATACTTTTTGAGCTATTCGACTTTGTAATGGTATAATCCATTAATTGCCACTCAATATATAATACACACTCTTTATATATGCAGTTTAAAAAACTATTTATACATCCACTGGTTATTGTTTCATCACATTGTATTTTATTTTTCCTGTTTTCAAGAAGATAAAATATTTTCTTCCCAAAAATATATTCTTGGAATATATTAAACAGGGGAGGGAAGTGTCTCACATTATAAATAATCAAACTATTGTTTTTGATAGCATTCAATGAAAGGCCCGCCCGGACCACAAGGATTAACGGGTTTTATAGGATCTATTGGTCCGCCAGGTTTTCCAGGAATTAAAG